TCAAGTCGGTAGTAGTTTCTCCCGTGAGCTTCTCAATGGTCTTTCCGCCCCGGAGACCGCCAAGTCTCTTCTGCCAGTCGTCAAGGCGTGAGTCGATCAGCTCTTGGAATGGAGCAATATAGACTGCACGTCCAGCATCTGCTTTTGACCAGTGCCGCAGTAAAGAAAACTCTGCACATACTGTCTTGCCACTCCCCGTCGGCGCACCCACGAAAACGTTCTGGTCGGTGTTGTATAGCGAATTGAAGGTTTGCGTCTGGATGCGGTTGAAGTGGTCCCAGTCAGGATACAACTTGGCATACTCCTTGGCCTTCAACGCCACTACAGGCAAAGGCTGAAGCTCAAGAAGCTCGGTGTGAGGAGGGAACCTCTCGGGAAGGATCAGCTTGTGGAATGATACGGGCAACCTCGTTTCAGAATGCATCCAGCGATCAGAGACAACTGAGATGAAGTAATTCGGGGGCATTGGCTCCGTGATGGGCACGGTGAAGTCGACAATGTGCTCATTCGACTCGGACTCGGCGTACTCCTTGCGCAACAAGAATTGGTCACTGAAGAGGATATCCTCTCCGTCACAATCCTCGACGAAGATCCAGAAACTTTCCGCCGGGCCGTGAATCTCGACATCCCACTCAAAGTTGGGTGCAATGCTCAGCTCTACTCGGAGCATAGATCTTGTCAATGGCTGAACTTGAGCCTGAACCTCGACCCTGGGGAATTTGGCAACCAAGCCGCAGACAGTTCTGCCTGCCTTGGGCATGCCAAGCAGTTCTCCCATCCGAGGGGGGTCAAGGTCAAAGTAGTTGCTCCAAGACACTTCGATTCTCTCCGACTTCTGCACGATGTCTCTGGGGCAGTTGGGGAATTGTCGAAGTGGAGACATGGTTGGCCACATGCGCTTCTCTGCCATCTTGCAAAGATCCAAGGCGGTCTTGGCCACAGACGCCCATCCCTTCTTCATGGTGATTTCGAAGATGGCTCGGAGAATACGACCAGCGGATTGAGTAACGTAGACCATGTCAGCCATAAGGGCGAGGCCATCCAACTTGAGTCGTGAGATGTAGGCTTGCAGCAACACATTAATCTTCGCGTGAGGCTCTTCGATGCTCTCCTTGACTGGGATAGGAACTCTGCCCAGCAACTTGGCAAGTTCAAGCTTTTCATCCTGGCGGACAGGGATGTACTTGAACTCTGCACTCAGGGAAAAGACTCTGAACAGCTCAATGGTCGTGATCGAGGGTTGAATCAAGTTGTTGTAAGTCTCCATAGAGCCGTGCGTGATATAGTAGTGGGAAGCGATGCGGCCCAACTCGGTTGACTGGAGCTTACCGGTCTTCTGGTCGTACTTGATAAGATTTGACTTCCTCAATACTGAAGCGGCGGAATGAATCAGATCGACTCGTTTTTGTTCCAGAGCCTCATCATCTTCGTACTCCGCGCCAACTTGGTAGAGACCGGGTGAACGTAGCATACGGACGAACAAGTAGGTGTAGCCAAGCCATTCGACACCCTCGTCTCTACTGCGGACGTTGCCGAGTACAATCTCGGCATTCAAGTTGTCCACGAGCTTGCTGACGAACTGACTCTCGATTGGTAATTGCTGATTGAGGAGTGACAAGTAGTACTGTATCTCGTTCTGAGTCGTGATGATGATGCCCTCGCCGTATGTGTCGTATTGTGGACGACCGGCGCGGCCAAGCATCTGCAGGACGTCTTGAGGGCTGAGCTCAACCCAGCTACCCTTCTCTGGAGAGTACACGGAAGTGCCTTTGATAATGACGGTATGCGCTGGCAAGTTGACACCCCAGGCAAGTGTCGCGGTACAGACAAGAACTTGAATAGCACCGCGGGCGAAGAGGTCCTCAACATCTGTACGATCGATACGATTCATACCAGCATGGTGAATGCCGAAACCGTAAGGCAGGATGTCCTTGAGATCCTTGTCGGTGGCTTGACTGGCCGCTTCGTTGAGAACCTCGCGACTTCCTGCATCATGACGAAGAATCTGGTTGATAGTATCCATTTCCAGAGCCTTGTCACGAATGTAGCGCGCAGTCTTGGCAGTCTCCTTCCTTGAATGGACGAAAATGAGCATTTGGTTTCCCTTCGCTCCTACGTGCTCGATGACCTTGTTGTACGTGACATCGTTCATCGTTTTCAGCTGCTTGATGGCCTTGCGATCCGTGACGCCAATGAATTCCTGGCGCAAGGGGCAAGGACGGAAACTGCCGTCGAAATGGAAGAGACCAGTGCTGATGTCCACACGCAAGAAGCTGGCAACATCCTTGTAGTTTGGCAGTGTTGCAGACAAGCCAACCAGACGGACGGGCTCGCCAGTCTGCTCAGTCTTTCTGATGGTTCTGCTGACGATGCTCTCCAGAACAGGTCCACGGTCGTCATGGAGCAAATGGATCTCGTCGATGATAACCAAGCGCACTAGGTTCGTGTAGGAGAGATCGGTAGCCTTTCTCGTAATGACGTCCCACTTCTCGGGAGTAGTGACAATAATCTGGGTCTCGGCGATTTGCGCCTTGGTAAGCTGTCGGTCACCAGTCAACTCAGAGACTTTGACGCCGTATGGCTCAAGTCGTTTTCCAAAGTTGCCAACTTGCTCCTGCACCAACGCCTTCAAGGGCGCAATGTACACGATTTTAAAGTTATCCAGTTCGATGTCGCCAGTCTCAGGGTTCCGGTTCTTGCCGATTTCTCGAAGGATGGTAAGCATCGCCACGTTCGTCTTTCCACTACCAGTGGGGGCACAGATGAGCATGTTGCCATCGTCACCGAAGGCTGTTGGATAACACTTCGACTGGATTTTGTTGAGAGATTTGGTGGTACCGAAGGGCAAGCGGGACCATTCTGGCATTTCGGTAATGGGAACGAGTGTGTCGCTGGCATCGCTGCGCTTCTTGGGTGGGGGGACGTGGATTTCCTCGTAGCCCTTGAAAGTTCGTTTCGTCGAGCCCTCTGGCAACCTAACCTTTGGGTTGCTCATGAGGTGGTTGCCCTGGTCAAACACCAAGTTCTCCAGGTTGATGAGCTTGCGGGGTTGCAAGCCACCCACCAATCCTTGAGGTCGGTCGTCTTCTGCGGGAGGAGCATTTTTGAGTGATGATGGGGCGTCAAGGTCCATTTTGATTTCCATCTTGCGTCCCTTTTGGTCATCGCCCTTCTTTCCAAACTTCTCGTTGAGGATCCACTGAAGACCTTCCGAAGCCATTTCGCGCTCCACCACAGCTCGCTGTTCGTCCGTCTCAGCCCTTGAATGACGAGTGAGCCAAACCACCTTTTCCCTGTTCTCGATAAGGAGTTGGACTAATTCGTGATGCTCGTAGTCGAAGAGCTCCATGAGGTCGTTTTCGATCTCTCTAAGTGACTTGTCCTCTCCACCCTGCTCATCAGGCTCGCCGGAAAGAATGCGCAATGCGTCGGTAGTCTTGTCGTGTTGTTCGTGGGAATCAGCATACAGCTTTCCGATCTGTCGCTGCAGCCAGAATGCATCGATATCTCGAGCAGAGACACTCTTTGCCTGCTTTGATTCCTGTGCTTGCTTCCGAGGGGCTGAGTCAATGACCATGGCGTCGTCTTCCATGTCCATCGCATCGTTCGCGTCTTTGGCAGGTTCGTCCTCGTCCTCATCCGCCTCCTCGTCCTCGGAGGACTCTTCCCTGACTTCATTCACAATGCCTCCTTCTTCGTCATCGGAGTCTTCGAAAACGACTGCGACACCCTGTCTTTCGTCTAATTCAGCTCCGTCGGCATCGTCTGCATTGTCGTCCATGTCTTCGTCCTCGTCTTGCGCATCGTAGTCTGTGACCTTCTTTCCGAGATTCACGAGCTCGTTGAATTCCTTGGCGCTCATTGAAACACCCAAAAGATCATCGATTTCCCTCTTTTTCTCTGTGTCTTTCAAGTCGTCGTCCTTCAAAAACTCCAAAGTCACGTCGGCGGCGCTGATGACGGCAGTTTGGGGGACATCACCGAGATTGTCGGAAACGATCTTCAGTATCAATTCGAACGTCGCGCGTGTTGCCGGTGTGCGCGGGCGGTATCGGATGCCCTCGACGAATAGGTCGCCACTTCCCAGGACACCAGCGCCTCTCGGTTGTGCCTTTTCGCCCTTCTTCTTCTTCTGCTCACGTGCGAGTACGTCCTCGCCCTCCTGTAAGCTACCACGTTCCACGCCGGTGAGACCAGTCGACTTCTTTTGTTTCGGTGCGGTTTCGCGAGCGACGCGAGCTCCCATGTCACGAATGCTCAGCTTTCCAGCGAGAGACTCGGGATCGCCTGTGGCCTCGTCATTTCGTCTTGAAACAAAACGACGGTCCGCCTGGAGGACCAGGTTGGACATGGCCGAGTACTTGTACTGGGACACATCGCGGTGTTGGTCCTGGTTCGACATTTTGGCGATGGATTGGAGGGTATCGTGTAGTCTCGTTTGCGCCGGTTGATCGAATTCGTGCAGGAGCTTGTCGATCGACAGCAGCGAGCGGCTCGCGCTGTGTCTTTGTTCCTTTTATAACGCCGTGTTGACCTTGAAATTGATGATTCGTCCAATATTACAGTATCGATTTGGTATGTTCCCGAAGTTCAAGTGACTCAATGAGAAAAGTATCGCGATGTGGCTAAGGTGGGCGGAGGCGTGTAATAGATGTCTCGACGCCTGTCGCGCGGAACAAATTTCATCTGCTGGTTGCAATGGCAAAACCCGGGAGACGGCGCTAAGCGGTAAACGCGTTAGCGGCACTCCAGTTAAGGCAGATAGCTGCACGTGACGTCGTGGCGCTGACCTGTCACTGTATCGACACAGGGTGGAGCAGCGACGCCAAGGGAAATCCACACCACCCCTGAACCACCGAGCTGTGTAAATCACAGCACCAGCAATCATCAACATTAACACGCGCAAAGAAGAATTGAGGCCAAAATTCGATCCGACGGAATTATCCTTCGTTGGCGCAACTGGAACATTCTCTATGGCTTAGCCTCAGGCTTTCGGCGAAATGGATCCAGTTCCCAAATCCATTCAGAAGGTTCAGGCATCACTTGAACCTTACGTCAAACCACGGGAGCAAGTAGCATACATCCGACGCGCCTTGGCCCTTCATCTTCAAGCCTGCCGTCAACCAGGGCCGATTCAAGAACCATTGTCTCTTGTTGATGCTTCTTGCAGGGTGAGGCCAACGAATGAGGTTAGAGGCCTACAGAAGGAATATCTCAAAGCTTTGAATGCCAACCTCAAGGCTCGCAATGAATACGAAATCACTCGAGATGCAGCGGTAACGGCAGCCCCGTCGCGGCCAAAGGCTGTCGACCTCAGGGACCAGATTGAGCAACATGTGGCCCTCGTCAAATTATGGCAGAAGCAACAGCGATTGTTGACGGTTCAGAAGTACTTGGATCTACTGGGACGCCAGCCTGCAGCATCACCAGACTTTCTCGATCTCGAAGATGTTTTCAGGAAGTCCATGTCTTTACCAGAGGTTCCAAAAGAGGTTGTGAACGGCTTCTCTGTCAGCGCCAGTACAACGAAGACGAACTTGGGAGGTCTGGCTGATCAGCTCGAAAAAGTCGTGCTGAGAGCCAAACTGCTGCTTCAGCGTGAAGAGCAACTCCTCAACGGTGTTCGACAAAATACAGCATCCCTGGCAGGCCAAGCCAGTGACGAGGCAAAGGCGCATGCTTTGGATGCTACTCGGGCTGAGTTAATCAACTGGATCGAGACGGAGCTCAGCAAGGCTTCAGGGGAAGCAGATGACCAGGCAAATGGATATAACGGGCATGCTGAACAAGCCACCATCGACGAGCATCTAGGCGAAATCAAGAGCAAGTACAACAAATACGTAGCTGCGAGGAAAGCACTGCTCAATATCGTCTCAGAGCAGACACAGCCAATCCTGAAGCCCGGTGGCGAAGCCTCATCAACTGCTGATCAAAGCCAGTCCATTCCCTCAGCACCCACTGCTCACCTTCTGCTGCCTTACCTGGAGAAGCTTCTCTCACTTTCTCGAGAACAGAAGGGGATGATCACCCAAAAGTCGCATATCCACACTGTTCTGGCTAAGCAGGCGAGAGAGACTCGACAGGCGCTGGATCATCTCGCCGAAGAAAGCCAGCTTCTTCCAGGACATCCCATGCCCGGAGCGGGCAGACCCAAGTCAGGGTTTGGGGAGGACTTCTCCACGGCTATGGCCGAGAAGCCAGTACCTTCAGACCGAGTCAAGCCATGGGTGTTTGCGGCAGACTCGGCCAAGATTGCAACATTAGAGGCTGTTGCAGAGAAGATCGAGGAAGGCCAGGTCGCACTGGAAGGCTCTACAACGGCGCTTCAGGAAGTTGACAAGCTCCTTGGCCACGAGCCAAAAAAGGCCGAGATGGAGGCGGGAGACACGACGGAGGAAGATATATGGTTGACGCAAGGGTCGGAAAAGCCGGGGATGAGGCAGCACATCAGACATCAGATTAAGGGATCCACGGTCAAGCACGACGATATTTGGTCTGTCATTGATGGGAAGCTTGGTCTCATTGGTCATGAAGATCATATTTGATGAGTCTCTACAGTTGTTACATACCCCTCATAGATTGGACTTTTTGCCATTGTCAACGCCTCTAATTGCCAAACCAGATGCCGCTTAGTGTCGATCAAGCCCGCAGCCCAATCCGAGGACTGATTAGTTGCCACGACCACTCATAACCCCCGATATCCTCAAGACCAGATCAAGGATAGACAAGTGCTCATCCGCGCCATCCACAAGTCTTTTGTCAACCTCGGAAAAGATGAGGACAATCTTATTCTTTTGTACGTCTGGGATTGTCTCGTCAAAAACGAGTGCTTGATAGAGCTGGAAATCTGTTAGCAATTTCACGGGCTTTCAAAAACCAGGGGGTAACTTACCTGAGTAACTACCTGTCCGGCACTCCAGCCATCTGCCACCATGTCCTCGACCACCTTGGCCACCCCTGCGTATGTGTCTCCAGCGCCGTGTGGGCGGATGGCGGAGATTAATGTGTCGATGGTCTTGTCAGGAATGACACCAGCGATATCTTCAATGATCTTCACCGTGACGGGCTTCTTGTCTACATCCATCGCGTCACCGCCAGCAGCATCTTTCTCGCCCGCGCCCACTAGCCGCGCAGCGCTCTGCAAGAATGTGATGGCCTTTCGCAAGTCACCCTCACTGCACTTGATCAGGGCGTCCACTGCGCCGTCCTCCAGCTGAACGCCCTCGTTCTCTGAGATATCCTCTAATCTCTTCTTCGTGTTGGTCTGGTCTAAGCTCTTGAAGCGGAACTTGCTGCAACGACTAGCAAGAGGATCGATGATTCGCGTGACGTAGTTGCAGATCAAACAAAACCGCGTGATCTTGCTGTATGTCTCCATGGTGCGGCGCAGAGCACTCTGTGCGTCTTGTGTCATGGAATCGGCCTCGTCCAATATGATAATCTTGAAAGGAGGGCAAGGGTATCTCTTCTTGTATTCGTTCGTCGGGTTCGTCAACTGCATGCGAGCAAAGTCCTTCACCTTCTCTCGGACGATGGAGATTCCACGCTCGTCGGAAGCGTTGAGCTCGAGTACGCGCGATTTGATCATCTCGGGGCCGTAGAGTTCTTTAGCCAAAGCCAGTACTGTAGATGTCTTTCCTGTTCCGGGTGGACCGTAGAAGAGCATGTGCGGCAACTGTATATCGGGTCAGCAACATCTCAATGCATCAGGGAGCAGTCGTACGTTGGAGGCTTGCAGCGTTCTCTGCAAAACCGTGACGGTGTGGTCTTGTGCTGTGACATCGCTTAGAGTCTTGGGACGGCTATCGGTGAACGTCAATATGGCAACCTCAAACACGCACGACTTCTAGGACTCCATGACGGGAAGACGAACTATTTCTCGACCCACGGCTGTGCTCGTGGCGGCTGCGCAGATTTCTCTTGCTTCTGAGTCGACGTGCCATTTGCAGCGGCGGCCTTCCTGGCCTTGAGGTCGAAAAAGCTCGCCATGTGTGATTGATGTCTATCTCGATCGAAATTTTGTCGCTGGAGGTCGTGTGATCTTGTCGTCTTCAATCAATCGTAGCTCTTCTCTGCACCTGAGGTATGTGGCGGTGGTGACGACCGAAGAAAATCAATTAAACTAGCAAACGCGCTGCCCAGTCGATCTGACGCGTGTTGGAGCTTTCTCGGCGGACAGGGGTGTAGATCCACCGCGTCGACAGAACCCCGCGACCGTTCCACTTTCGAGGTACCCTCGGAACCTTACATGAGATACGTACCGAAAGCTGTCTGAACCGGGATACTCACTCCAACCTTGAAGCTACCTATTTTACTTCCGTCAAGCGATGGTACATGTGAGCATCACAACTTTGACCGTACTCGACATCTCTACATTGGAATATTTTCTTGACTTCATTTTATTCGCCCACTTTCTTCATTCAATCAAAGAAGATTGTTAGGCCAGAAAATGAAGATTACGGAGGTTAGGACGGATAGGTATGGAGGTTTCCTGTCAATCATACGGGAAGTAGGTAAGCTGGTCATCGCGTTACCGTTTTCCCAACCATCAGGATCCAGATACTTCTATAGCACAGCGGGATTCGAGACAATTCCTCGGGTCCAAAGAAACTTGGCTATACGTGAGATAATAATATTATGAAGGGAGAAAAAGGAAAAGGAAGCATTATCCGATTTGGACCCGATGGCGTCTAATGTTAGATTTCGACTGAGACCTCACTATATTATCAAGAGTCACACCTGGTCAGAGATGACCTTTGAACGGTTAGACGCGGCAAGGGATCGTTTGACAAATAAATGAGTGAACACCCGCCGCCTAAAGCAAGTACCACACCCCAGCCAATGTCATCAAAGCCTTCTGCTGGTAAAGCAGGCTCAGTTTAGTGAAGGTGATTGTGTGACATCAAACATCTCATTCAGCCACATCTCATATAAGCCTGAGGTAAGGTAGGTATCATGTGGGCATCCCCCCGGCTTGTAACTTCGTAATATCTCTCAAACTCCTCATCAAATTATCAAAGAAGGCACCACTTTGCGCTGTGGGGCTTCAAAGGAGTTCTTAGTTGTGAAGTTCAAAGAGGCCCCTTCACCACAGAAGAACGCTGCGATTCGCCTGCATCAACGCACGCTAAAATTACCCCTCCTGCCCCGCCAAACTGCCAATTTAGGCACCTGGTGCAGCTGCCTCGTCCCCCGCCAGCATCTCATCAACTGAAGTTACCTTAGTACCGGTCCCTAAGGTACCGCCCGGAACTACTTCTACCACCCCGATGCCCTGTGGTGCTTGCCATCTGCACTCTGAGGTACCCGACCTACCCACCTCCGTACCCTGGTTTCCTCCCACCAACCGAACAACCAACAGAACCCAAGTTGCATCTGCCCGGCCGCAGAGAGCGCTTTACTGACCTGACATCTTCCAATCTCCCAGGCTCTCAGGCCGCACTCACATCTTCGATTCTCCATCAACTACCTACCCCACGTCGAGGAGAATCTACGATCACGGCCTACAACCAAGCATCTGTCAAAGCACGCCCACTGACTGTCAAGGGGCAGCGCCTGACCCAGCTGGCACCATGGCGGATCAATCCATTATTCGGATTACCAAGGTACCTTAGCTGCCCCGCCCCTCACCAGAGCGATGAAGGAGGGGCTAGAATTGCAAGGCTGATGTTTGATCGCACAACAGGAACTCGGCGACATCCAGCGAACCTCGGATCTCTGTACGAGCCTCTCCGCGAACATAATCTATTCCATATGCTGACCTCCTTTCCAGCCATAGCTGTCGCTTGTCGCGATGTCGATGTTCGCAATGTTAAGGCCTTGATCATCGGACCTCACGACACTCCCTACGAGTTTGGGTTCTTTGAGGTAATAATTTGCTTTGAAATTGCCCCATTTACACGCAGTGCTAACGGGAAAGCAGTTTGCGATCAGGTTCAATAAGGGTACGCTTCTTCCATAACGTGGCAATGATGGGTGGTTTGGACTGACGCACAAATAGAATACCCTAGGAAGTCGCCCAACGTCAACGGTATTACAACGAACGGAGGCCGATGCCGATTTAACCCCAACATTTACTCATCCGGCAAGGTTTGCTTGTAGGTTTACCTTCCGCAACGGAGAATGCTGGGCGCAAGGAGTACTAACGTTCTGCAGGTCCATTCTAGGGTATAGCCAGGCGCATAGGATTTACTATGGGACTTTAACTAACAGGATCTAGCACATGGCGTGGAGAGCGTGGAGAGGAATGGTCTGCAGCACAAGGCCTCGAATCTATCCTCATTTCAATCCAGAGCTTAATGTCAGGAAACCCATACGAGAACGAGCCTGGATTCGAGGAGGCAAATGAAGCATCGGATAAGAAGAATCAGAAGGACTACGTCCAGAAGGTGAACAGACATACTTGTGTATTGGAATGATGTGAGACAACGGGGCTGATTCTTGCCGCAGATACGTCACGAAACACTTCGAATCTCCGTCATCCAGCGTATGGAGGAATACCTTGGTCTCACACCCGACGGCAACGCTATTGCCCAACAGTCCGCAGCAGACGGAGACCAGCTGGATACCGACAACGAGGACATGGACGATACGAACGTTCCTTTCGAGCCTTTCAAGGATTTATGCAAGCAGCGGTTCCTATGGTACTACGACAATTACCTGCTTGCTGTGCAAAAGGCCAAGGTCGAGGTCAGAGACCACCAGGCGTTTGTGCGCATGCCGTTTGAAGGTGCTAGCAACACCATGGACGGCAAGTTCAACTACACAGAACTGGAAAGACGTCTGCGGAATGTCAAGGCTGCTCTCGACAATGAGCTCGTCAAGTGGGCCAAGGATGGCGAGATTGCGATCGAGAAGGAGATGACACTCTCTGTAAACTTGCGCCACCAATACGAACAAGTGGTGCAGGCGTTCAAACGTCAAGACATCCCCCACGATGTCCAGTTGGAGGACAATAATCCTTTCGTTTGGGTCATTACCTACTTCGGACGTCCAATGACGAACCTTGACGGCGGCTTATTTCGCTTCAAAATCCACTTTAGTACCAAGTTCCCCGAGGAGCAACCTCGAGTCAAGTTTCACACACGCATTTTCCACCACCGCATTGCAGAGGACGGAACAGTTTGCTATTTCCCAAACTCACTGAGGAAAGAGGACGTTCGAACTCACATCGAGGCTGTATTCAGGGCCCTGGAGGAAGAAGATCCGGCGTACGACCCTCGAACCTTGGTACACCCTGAGGCACATACGCTTTATTGGGGAGGCGCCGAGTCGCGGAAGAACTACAACAGGCGTCTCCGTAGATCTGTGCAGCAGAGCATGGAGTAAGTTGCTCAAAGTTTTGTCCTATGTTCCTGAGCTAACCTTTACAGTGACTTATGATATTGCGTCTGAAAACCACCTTCAGGCTAAGGTACATCATGATGTGTGTGCTTGTGCTTACAACGCGACCATTTCGGTACAAAGGTCGACTCTTTTTTTCGGTCATAATGAGGACGGTAGTGAAAATTGACCTTGGCTCGTCCAGGTTCAACTTGCTTTCAATGGTCCGGACGGCGTTAACGGCATCGGAATCATGCATATCAGGAACGGGCTTGGGATTGTCCCGCTAGACTCCAGTAGATACCTCGAATAATGACGCGACGAAAGTAGCTACATTCGGAAGTTGATATCGTTGTTTTCTTCTTCTTCAAAACCAAGGCTCTGGCCTGTTTCATCAAAACGCCTTCCTTCCCATGCACCCCATTCATGCATAACGCCTCGTAATCTCATGACCTCAGTAGGAAAGCATCAATCATACACCCATTCCCGGGATGCTTGTTCCAGCAACCTTGCCTCGAACGGCTTCCTTTTTTTCAAATCTTCTGGAAGGAAGAAACATGCTGTTTTATCGCTTGCCTCCCCTTGCCTTCTTCTCGATCCTGTCCTTCCCAGGTGTGTAAGGGGCCGCGACACCGATGAAGGGTCTCTGGTTACCTCCAGGCTCTCCCTTGAACTCGTATGTCCCGCTGGGTCCCAACGTTGCCGGAGCGCCTTGGCTTGGTCTGGCCAGTTGGTCCGCGTGTATCTTGTCGAGTGACTCGCCGACGACGGCATACTGCGACCAGTTGATGGGTGGACAGCGCACCACGTTCTGGGGTTTGGGGAGAGACTCCCACGGCTGTGGTAGTTCCTTCGCCTTGCCTTGCGCGGCACTCCCGTCTGCCTTGCTCTCTGTCTCGTCGTCCGAGTCTGAGTCGGACTCGGCAAACAGCTTGTCGCCTTGTGTGTGCACTTTGCCTGCGCCGAGGTCGGCGAGGAAAGCTGATGGGTTATCTACGGCGGCGTTCTTTGCGGCGTTGAGCCCTTGGATATCGGCGGCGGCCTTTTTGGATTGCATCTGGAGGATGGAGATGGCTGACTTGAGGGCGAGAACATCGGGACTGGAATCAAAATCGATGGGCTCGGGACGCGGAGGGGGGATGGCGGCAGCGGTGGACGGCTGGGAAGAGTGGGTGAGTACTGGGCGGTCGGCAGCGAAAGGGGCGGGAGGGTCCGGCAGACGGGCCGGGGGCAGGGTCGGGGTTATGGGGCTGATGGGGGGCCGGGCGGGGGAGGAGGAGCGAGAGGATCGCGGAGGGGTCTGCTGCGCTTGTGGTGGGTTTGTTCCGCCTGCCGAAGAGGTTGTGGCAGCAGTCGGACCAGCAGCCGCAGACGTAGATGGCGCCGGCGCCGGCGCATTCGATGTGCGCGGCGAGATCGCGTCTGTTTGTATCGTGAGGCCGAGCATGGTAGTGGAGAGGGCTGGCGGCTCGCTCTCGGGAGCAGCGGTGACTCTTTTTTTGTTTGTTTGGTGGTCGGCGTCTGAGTGTGTGAGCGGGAGAATTGGAGGTTGAGAGGTTGGAATGTCTCTCGTCTCGTGGTGGGGTTGAGAAGGAGGGGGAACGGTAGTGCAATCGGAGCTAAATGTGCACCGTGCGTTTGGCGCGCCGCGCGTGCAGATGGCTCGGGAACTTTGTCAGCTTCGGATGCTAGCGCTGTGCAGGGAAGGCTGCATTCAGCTTAAATCAGGTTCTGTGGCTCTCAAGCGGGTGCCTGTGTGCCTTGTGGGAAGCTTCCAGAGAAGAAATGCGTTGTGATAGTTTAGGCGATGCGGTCGTCGGGCGGGTTGCGTCAGCCAACGGACGTAGAGGTCGGGTGAACTCAAAGTGCGCGCGCCAAGCGACCGTTTCTGTTTGTTGACTTTGCTGGTGTTGTTGATGTTTTTGAAAGTATTGTCCTACCTACTTCTGTGGCCCGCCCGATTCATTCAACGGATTCCAAAGTCAATGGTTGGATGCAAGACAGGGCAATAGAAACAGCGGCCAAAGGACGACGTTCAAATGCAGGTTCGCCACTGGCTAAGCTCGATTGGAGCAAGGTGCCTGCAGAAGATTGTCAAGATCTGAATCACGCCGCCGAGGAGTACCTAACTGTCTGCACGTGCCAAGTGCCCCATCCATCTTCGCCAGCAGAAGGAGGTGGGCTAAAGTGATTGGTTGACATCCCGAGATTTCTGTTCAGCCGCTGTTGTGAGGGGAGTCGCCGATGTAGGAATCGACGATGAACCTCTTTCCGGAGAGAATTCATACCATGGGCATTGAGTTTGAGTCCGAGAAATGAGCGTATTCTTGAATCTCGATCATCTAGCAATGACGTCGAGAACGAACTGGTGCGATTTAGGTCTAGCAGTTCAGCTTTCCAGAGTTTCCGAACATCCGCCCAACGTTGTTCTGCCGTACGTCCGTATTCTCGCACAGCCCATGGGCAGTTCCCGAGCTTGCCTAGATTCGTGAGAATTCCGACGGCCCCTAAGAGACGTGACCTTCTAGGGGGCACGTCTGATGCAGCGGAACGAGGGACAGTAATCGTGGGCTTCAAGCCGAATCTGTGATACATCAGATTGTGGCTGCAGCAAGAAAACTTGCTTCTTCCATTTTACAGCCCACGCGCTATCGAAATCTCGATATTGCCCAGCACTACAACCCCAAATAAAGAAAACTTGTCGCAAATGACCTGCCGGTCCCTGGCTTGGCCCCGGTCGGTCTTCAATATTGAACCTCATCGGTGAAGGTTTAATTTCATTTTTTTTGACGGCGAGCATCGAGCATTCTCCTCCTTCCATCCAGCCAAATGCCGCACGAACGGGCCCCCTCAACCTACTGTCCAGTAAACAAAGGATGCTGCGCCTCGATACGGGAAGCCTAAATTGTGTGAGATGGATCTTGATCTTGTACCAGGCCGCTGGGATAGCCGTGCTTTCAAGCTGACAGCACCACATTTCCCACCTAAAAGATGGTCAATAAAGGACGAAACGGAACGCCGTCAAAGGGCTAGCACTTGGTTTTGCTGAACCAGTCTTGCGGTTTGGTTCATGAGACACTACGAGACATCCACTCAAGGGATGACTAGGTCGACGGTCGACCGAGCTGTCCGACGGTGGAACTCCCATTCCTTGCATCGTCCCAGCCCTCCAACAGCTTGAGGCAAGGGCTCTGACTATGGTCCAACGATGCCGCAGTATTAGACTGGCCACCTCCCGTCAGGAAAGACGTCACTCACTCAGTGAGGGTGCCCTAACAATGAATACTAAACGTCCTTCTTACCGTTTACCGCACAGTCTTTGCCAACGTTGGCATTAGCGTATGATTAGTGAATAGTGGCGTCCAGTCGTATTGCAAGGCTGGCATACGACCAGGATCGGATAGATGGTGTCCGTGATGCCTCGCTCTTTCTGCCCTCAACATGGCAGGAGCTAATAGCACGAGGTGCTGAACGCCGGGGTGGCATGCGGGACAAGGCATGGCATCCACCAAAAGAAAACATGGAAGGTGCAGGCCAAGCCAGTCCGCCTGCTCTTTCCTGTGGAAAACATGGGAAGGTAATCAACACGAGCGGGGCAAGAGCACGAGAGAGCGAGCCAGCGAGCAGCGAGCATGCATGGCTTCTGAGACCTTTCCGTCCCATGCCCATATTTCCATTCCGCTTCTTTTGGGCCGGCGTCAATTTGCACGTTACTGCCACGAGGTCGCTCTTTCTCTCCCCGCTGATCTTCTCTACTTCTACCTCTCGCCCGCCTGTTCTTCTTTCTCTTCTTTCCAACACTGCCTCAAGTTGACTGGACATACAATCTCTCACTACCTTACCCTGTTCCAAATCATCGAACTCCTTCGCCTCGAATACTTGTTATCAAACTCTGCCGTTCCTTCTCATCTTCTCCGCACATATTCATATCCTCCAAGCCACCATCAACTTCGCCCTATACGGAAATTGTGCAACACTGTCCATCCTCACCTATCAAGGAATCCTGTCAGACATCTACTGGAAATTCCGGGGAATTTGGGTGTCTTTTCGAATGCTTGAATAGCAGTCTCACAAGTCTATTCCCTCCCACCGAACAATGCGGCTCTTCCATCGGCATCGAAACAAGCAGAAGAACCCGCCTGTCCCTATTCAAGAAGACTTATTTTCACCCTTTGACTCACCAGCACCTTTACCTCCCATTCGGAACTTCTCATACCCAACCGCAGCCCTGCAATCACCGTCGGCACCTTCCATCTCTTCAGCCACACAGCCAGGCATCAACCTACCTCCTGCCGGCTTTGGAGAAGCGCACACATCCACACCCAGTGGTGGCACCGAGCCCCCGTTTTACTGGGCTTCATCGTACAGACCCATACGTGAAGAAGAAGTCGAAACCTCGACAGATCCACAGTCTTACACTTTTGATACTGGACCAGAGGCGTTTGTCTACGGCTAGGGGCCGATTCCAGAGAAGAAGAAAAAGAAACGGCGAAGTCTCCTCGGAATCTCAACACCACAGAGAAGCAAGACTACTGAATTCGAAGAACTGCCAAGAATCAATAGAAATTCGCCGCAGAGTCTTGATCGAGATTCTCTCACTGGATATCGAATTTCTCATCCGCCAGCTCAGGCTATCCTTGAAAGCCCACCCAAGAAGGTGTCTCCCCAGAAACGCGCTTTTGTTCTCGGTCACAAGTTCGCCAAGTCGGTCGACCTTGCATTCACTCACCTACGCCCGCCGAGCCCACCTCGCCCGGCATCCAGCTCAGGAATAGCTGCAATCGACACGCGAACAGCCCCTCATAGAATCGGGCTAGCGATAGACGAAGAAGACAACCATCCAGGAACGTTGATCGATCTCTCAGACGATGACGAGATGGGCCTCAGACGCAGAATCTCGGAGATGGACTTGAGAATGTCTCCTCCGGAACGCATGTTCTCCGACCATTCGCAGATATCTGAGTACAGCGCTTCTACAGCTAGTGTCAGTGGAAGCCCCACAAAGAAGAGACGAAGTGAAAAGTCCAAACCCAAGGACAGCAAAAATCATTGGGTTAGCCAGCTTAAAGACTGGTTCAGCACTGGCGAGCCATCCTCTCAAGACTGGAAACAGCTCAAGAAACAAGAGTACCACAAGCATGGTATCGCAATGAACGACCCCGAGGCCAGTGCAAAGCTACATGCCCCCATCGGAGCAATTCCTGAAGAGGCCATCAAGCCTTCCAGTGGACCGGATCCTGAGACGATTGCCAAGAAGAAGTTCGCAAATCGGAAGCAGATTCGCCAAACCTATGGCGGTTGTGAGAGAATCACAGGCTCTGTTTCCTCCGAATCTTCGGCAGGCAGCAGGGAGGTCAACCCTATTGCCCCATGGGTGTAGGCGTGAACACTGGCCGGCCTTGGTTGGGGGGTTAAGCATGCCTTTATTTGTAGCAAGGCAGAGGCGGGAGTGTATGGATTGATGAATGAGATAACGACTGGAAGATGATGACGATTTGCTTAAATCGCTTTTGCATTATACCCGCTTCTATACGCCACGGCAACAAGCCTGTCGCGGAAGCTGCGTTGGAATTTTCAGGCTCGGTGGCCCTTCGTGCGCCACAGGACAGAGAGAGCCTGAAACGACTGTCTTTTCGAGTACCATAGTCTGATGAAAACGGAAGATTTCTACACTACTTTCATGTTCCTAAGTGCCAAATTCACATGTCAACGTGACGTTCCCAGTGTTTGACAGCTGCAGACGAACCCGGTCGACGTTGACCAATGTACAGTGTCGTGACGTTACGTTTGTGCAATTGATATCGATTCGATAGTAGCTTTATAATGTGGAACTTGTACCCGTTAGACGGTTGTATACATTAATGATGAACAACTCCAGTTTAGAGATCTGGAGACTAGTGTCGCAATATCAGTCCCTAATCGCGAAACAATCCCCTCAAACTTGCTGGAAATCACGGAAGTGGGTTCGTCGACGTTGGCTTGTAAGGTACCCTAGACGGAATGGGTATGAAGATTGGTCAGCGTGAGTGACAACTCGATCGCATGCGGTTGGTTGGTCAACTTTGAGCACCAAGACACCACTGGATGCCCGTGTTAGCTCAGGTATGGAGCCGAAATGGATGTCGTTGGCACACCAAAGATTGCAGCGCGCATTTGCAGCAACTAGGTAGTTGGATCATCACCGCAAGACTTCCAAGTTCCCTGCTTTTTCTAGAGTGAGGCGCGAGCATTTTGCTCTCCTGTCGTTGCCCAGCGCTGCTGCGCACCTTCGACAATCCCCCACGCTAGCCCGGAGCTTAGCTCCGACCTGGAGGTCGGGTGGAGATTTCGGAGGGCCGTCGACTGGGACGTGCTGAACAGTGACAGACACCCCCGACCGAGACTGCTGGGAGAGATGGGGCGGGGCCTTCCAATCGGCGATCCTCACGGCGCCAGCGCCGTGGTCGTTTTCCCCACCTTTCCGCATTCGGTGGACAGCGCTGTGTCGCGTTCCCCCAATTGCAGAGGATGACGTACATGACCGGGAAGCTCTGGCCTTTGGTCAATGGTGGTTGCAGCAACGATTCGACGAAGCTCTGGGCCCTCCCCCCCCCTTGCCGTCATTGAGACGTCTGTGAGCGGGATGTGAGTATTAGTGCCTAGTCCTCGGTCGTTCGTCTTAGCTGCTTCAGACTACCTACCTACCGCCATTTCCTTGGACGTGTTTCCCCCAGTTCTCAGCTTTCTCCTTCTTCTCTCGTATTCTCCCTTTCTTTGCATCGGTTTATGTACTTTTCGGTCGAGGTTGCATTTTACGAAAGATACCCTGTTGCATATCAATAGTGGCACTTGCTGCGAGCCTTGGACGATAGCTTCGACAAGACGCCCGTCATGTCTTCGCTTTGGGGTTCAAGGAACAAAAAGGATGACGATGAGGAGGTCCGCGATGGACCTGGACCTCCAGAGGAAAGAGGATCGAACGAGTACGCGGCACGGGAACCCGACGAACACACTCGGCTCCTACCGAATAGGCTCGACAGCGACAACCGCCAGTACCTGACGCCCGATGACCCGGCAGTGTCTCCGTACAACCTGTGGACGGTGCGCGTGCTGCGATGGGTGACTGTCCTCTTCACGGCCCTTACTTTCACGTGGTGGACCCTGACTTTGGTTTCCTCTTTCGTGACGCCGCCTGGTATGCATACGCGCGGCTCTGGGTTTTACGCCTTCAGCTATTCGAGTGTGTCACTGTTTACGCTGCTGTTCACTCTCGTCTTCTTTGCGGCTCCATCCAAGGCCGTCCGAGTTCTGGCCATCTTCATGGCTATCATGCTTCTCGTCAACATGATCCTCATCGTTGCCGTCCAGAAGAACCGTTACGAAGAGGCCGGAGTGGGAGTTGCGAGCGTTGTCTGTAAGTTGGGAGTTTGGCATATCATGTGATTGATCCTTTGCTGACAAGTCCACCCCAGGGGCTTTTGTCGTGAGCCTGTGGGCGCTTGCTTGTGATAGAACTGTGAAGTGGGGCAAAGCCGAAGAGGAAGAGAGGCTCACCGGCCGAATTGAGACGAGGCGTACAGTCTGGGAATGGACCGAGGTTCTCATCTCAACGGTGGCCTATATCATCCTGTCTTTGATCATCATCCTTATGACTGCCACATTGATTCTGCGATCGCTTGATGCTGGTTTCGGCCCGCCAGGCGAGCAGTACTGGGTCGACGGCGACCAATACCGTATCCACGTTTACTGCGATGGCAATGGCACCGATGCCGCGGGCAACAAGCTCCCCACCGTTTTCTTCGAGGGAGGCGATCTGCCAGTCGAGAATGGATTGTGGCAATTTGCGCAAAACGCCCTGAAGAATGACTCCATCTCGAGATACTGCTTCGCCGACCGTCCGGGCTACGGATGGAGCGATACCGCACCCAGTCCTCTATCAGCAGGCATGGCAACTGACGCCCTCAGCGAGGCTCTTGCACGAGCTGGCGAGAAGGGCCCCTGGATCCTGGCTAGCGCTGGAATCGGTTCCGTGTACTCTCAGATCTTTTCCTCCCGACACGGCAGAGAAGTGAACGGCCTTCTCTTGATCGATCCTCTTCACGAAGACCTTCTTCACCGTGTTTCGGACCCTGGCAGAGGCTTCTCCTACTGGCTTCGCGGCGCATTCTCGCCTCTTGGAATCGAACGTCTCCCAGGCGCCATCTTCCGCGGACGCACGAGCGCAGACCGCGTCTGGGGTCGTTCAGCTAGACAGAGTGGAAAGTACCTGTTCTCAAAGTTGCAGGAGAGTCTCGTCGCCGATTCGCTCACCAAGCGTGAGGTGATTAGCAGCAAGGCCATCCAGTACCCCAATACGCCTCTGGTGGTCATCAGTTCCGGTGTCAATGTTCGCAAGGATAGCGAGTGGGAGGACAAGCAGAGAGATTTCAGCCATCTGACAAGAAACCTGAAGCATTGGGATACGGTCGACGACGCGCCACACAATGTGTGGGAGACGTTAGATGGACGTCAGAAGATTGAGAAGAGACTCCGACAGATGGTCCATGCGTGAAGCCATTGAAAACGGCGTGGCGGCGCTTGGAATTTAGTTTGTTGGATCGCGGCGAGTTTGAACGTTGTATCCGTACGGAACATACAGATACGGTCGGACGGCTATCCCTGGGTTGGGTTTAATTGCGGTGTGAGCGACAGCTAGGAAATGAAATGATGAAAGCGACTTGATTTTCGATATACTGTGTTGTGGAGTTGATGGTAATTGTCTGCGTCGTGTCCGCGGAAAAAAGAAAGCAAAAATGACTCGTAGGTACCTCGCTGTGTGAAGAAGTGCCGGCTTCGCGCCGTCTTAGCGGTTCGATTGGTGGCTTGCATGACTTGCGAAGTGTCCGAGATGCTTAGGATGCCTTCATCCACCAAGAAGCTTGTTCCTCAGCAAATTGTCCCGAAGAGATGTCTCATGAAGGAGAAGAGAAGTTCTGCTGCCTCGGGCAAGATTGTGTATAGAAAAGGGCCGCATCGTCAATGCCACGTGCTGTATGCAACGGCAAGGCGGTTAGCCTTTTGGTTGAAGGAATTTGTTATCCACACATCTTGGCTTGGACGGGATCTTGCATGTGGTGTTTGCTTGTTTTGGGAAGCTTTTCTTTTGGCAGGGAACAGCTCCGGTTGGCAAGTTCGGGTGTTGCTCACGCAACATGTGGCCTCTCTGAGGGGGAAGTAAGTGCCTTCCAACTACCCGTATCTCTGAGGAAATCGGCAAGACAAGGTAGGTCGGCTGCAGTGTACCTTCATAAGATGGGATGGCCAAGTTGCGGCTCGCCAAGGAAGCTGGCTGCTCAAGTAGGCTAAGGTTCGGACAGTTGATAGATTCGTCCCATGTCTGAAACTAAAGGGCTGCACATCATCATGTTAGTAGCGTCTGAACTCTGAACCTTGGATTGTCCGATGTGAATGCAAATCCGTGATAAAAGGAGCACTTCGAACATGAGACTGCGTCTTGCGTTGCATTTGATCTATGACCTATCCGCACACGTGCAACATGTTAGACGCGACCGCAAGTCAACACACAATTGGCGACCGACCCTCTAAGGTGACCTCTACCTAAGGTAGTACTGAGTAGTTGAAGAATTGAAGCCAGCAGACCAGACCGTGTTGGGCCGTAGCGAAGTGTGGTCAGGAACCAAAATGGATACGAATGTATTAAGTATTTTATGGAAACAGGTCGTATGCAGACTATGAACACGAAGGAGAATTTACGAGCCCACTCAACCTTGAAAGAAACTTACCTAGTACTCCGTAGGCGGACAATTCACTTTGTTCGCTAATACGGATAGGTAACGGTCAACGGGCGAGTACGACAAGTTCGTGTCGTGAACCGCTCGAGGCCGAAAAGCCCCTCCCCAGACCCCCCAGACCTCCCTCTTATTTTAAAACACGATCCAATGACGGCAATGCCTGCGCTTTCTCGTCTCCGCCCTACACTGTTCTCACCACTCAGCAGTCCCATTCTCGCCCAACAAAGAGGACCCCGAAAGTGAGACCAAGACCCGACTCAGTCGTCCAGCAGAGCCCCCAATCGCAACAGGTCCCTCCAACCTGGCACGCCTGGTGCACCCTGGGCCTCGGAGCTGGAGAATGGGACCCCAAAAATAGTGTGGAATTTGCCTTCGGCCGGCGCCTAAGGATTAGTGCGGTGTAAGGCATCCGTACCCAGGAACGGTAGGGAGTCAGGGACAAGGTCCCTAGAGAGGTTCCGTGCTCTTGGGGCTTGGGATTCCAATCCTCCCCGGACACTCGACCCGGAATGGCCGCCCTACAGCCCAGTGAGGGAGTCAAGCCTCGCCATGGACGAAAGGACGTGCTCATGCTGCGACGTGCCTCTCTCAGCATGCTGTGCGTGCCATGTAATATGATGTCCCACGATGGAGATGGCGTGAGGTGCACTGAGGTTGACAGACACCTGTTTCCTCATGTCTCATTTGCGTTGCCGAACGGGTAGGGCAGCCTCCCGTGCAAAAGTATCCGTAAGTCAAGTTGATAAGACCCTTGTCTGAACACCTCGACAATCGCCTTGCTGCCTTTGTTTTTCTTTCCCTCCCTCATGCAGGTAAAATGAGCCGTAAGCCAAAGTTCCTGTAGTCGGGAGAGAATCAGTACCACAATCAGAATCAGTGGAGAAAGAATAGATACCACCCGACTCCTCCTTGGGGATTTGCAAACGACGCGGTT